TAGGTCACGATAACCAAGATGGCGGCCGCGGGCTGATCTCTCCGCGAAATTACCGAAGATTTGTTTTATGGGAAGTGTGAATAATAATAATTTTTGCGGTGAATTAAAATTGAAGTATCCACTTCTTAAACCGGGTCCGAATAGCCGCAGCCAGACTTTTCATTACAATTACAGTTAAGACATACGCCAAAAAAAGAAAAGCAAGTCATGTTACTGTTAATGTCAATGACAATGTTTATAGAACTATATTTAAAATAGAATTAAAAAATACAATAAAATTATAAACATAAACGTATTCTTACTTGCTTTTAGCTGTACGTCATGTTGTTTTCGTGTTTCTTCAATGCTACATGAAATAAAGTCTTCAAAAAATGGCATATTTCTCGATTGATAATGACTCTAAGTCTAAGATGGCAAGCCGCCATTCCGTCAAACCAACAGGAAGTATCCGTCATAACCGTCACGTGACCAACCGAAGATCTAAAGCCCTCACGTGACCAGCCGGATCCGAATAGCCAATTGCTACTATAGGTACCTGGGTACCTATAGCCACTCCGTTGTGGTAATGTGATACTGTGTGTCAGAAGTGGGGTATTTCGGAAATTATGAAGGATACTGTGAAATATTTTTGATGTGGTTCTGTTTCTGATGTCAGGTAGGCCTAGTGAGGAAAAAACACAATTTTGGGCCGTGGGAAATGATTGGATCTGAAAATCCAGGAGCTGCAAGGAAAGTGTTTGGGATGTGAAAAGGTTCATCGGATGTCACATGTTGTTTGTGTTATCGCGATAATTCACCGAGACACAACTTACACGCCATCTACTGAACGCCCTATTCAGATTCTGAGTCTTTACAGAATACAAAATATACGGTCCTGGATGTTGATTATCCTAGACTGCTCTCAGAGGTTCTTATGTTGCCAACCTGACACCCAATGAGATTTAATACCACTTGCGGCGGGGGACTCTAATAATGCATTTAATACGGGACAATGACATTTGAATAGAACGAAGATGTACATATCGTGTCCGACTTGGTGAAAACGGGCATACTTTCCACCATTGTCCTGGCCAGCAGATTCACACGCTTTTTCTCAGCGTTGTTTCGTTACTTTGACAATTAAGAGACATAGAAAGAATTTAAAATCTTATTCTGGTACTTTTTTTTTTTAACCTTAAGGATGCAGTAAATTATGAAAGAGAAAAGAATCATTTAATGAAGTAGATAAACAGCCAACTTGATCATGTATGATTTTAAAAAAAATGGCAATTCAAAAACAAATTAAATATGTTATTTAACTAGATAAATTATAAATCCGACAAAGTATGGTAGTAGTTGTGGTAGTGGTTATGAGGGTGGTGGTGTGTGTGTGTGTGTGTGTGTGTGTTGGGGGGGGGTGATAAGTCTAAGAATGGATGCAACTGCTTACTTCTCTTTCCCTGACCCCCTTTGTGTAGACGCCTTTACATCAAAGGCGGCCTATTAACTGTTCATTTATTTGATGACGACAGTATCAAAAGCTATCCGTGTTTGCTGTTTCTTCTGCTTATACTTGTCCATCGCTCGGAGTTATGGGCGGAGACTTGAATGCAACCCCGAGCATTCGACAACCTAGCTACACTAGTAACCCTACAATAAAACTTCTTAGCGTGGCTTTCAGCTTTTCAGTTTTGAATGATACCGCCATGGTCTGATTAAGAGTTTTGCCAATGAATACAGCTTGGCAGGTGTCAAAGAAGGGTGCTTCGTAGACCATAAAGATCTAAATATAAATGCACCATTCTTCTTTACATTTTAATATCTTTGATCACTGAATTAAATGTAGTGAAAATAATCTGCTTCAAGTCAATAACATTGAAACATGTTTCTCAATCATCCATTTTATTGTGTTTTATCAATACAATTCAATGACACTGTTTTTTTGAAATGGTATTTTTGGTATAGACCAGACCTCAGCAAAGTAAATTAGACTAAAAACATACAGTAGTTAAAATTCATACTAAAGTTTAATAAAGGTATTGCTGTAGATTTAGTTTTGATTATTGGGAAAAAAATTCTCTCATCGCAGCTTGGTATAAGGCTAAAGATGTCATTATTTGTATTCGACAGATGCATGGGCGCCCGCAGGTAGGGGCAAGGGGGGCACTTGCCCCCCCCCCCGATTGATTGGATAAAATTTTTTTAGACAAAAAATGTATTAAAGTTAAGAGAAAATAAAGAGAGATTAACTAAGCTGATGTCCTGTCCGTTCGTCTATACCGCAATTAAGTTACAAGCTTTATCAACTGGAGCGATGAAAATTTTCTCCAGCAGAATGTCTCAAAAACAAAGGAAATGGTTCTTGATTTCAGGAGGGGGAAACACCAGATTACTGATCTCAACATAAAAAAATCAAAGTGTATAGAAACTAGAGGCATATAAGTACTTAGGTGTCACCATTAATAATAAGCTAGCATGGCATGAGCACGGCAAAATGCTGTATAAGAAATTCAACCAATGACTATCCTAACTCAAAAAACTGTACAATTTCGGCGTAAACAAACAAGTCATTAAATTATTCTACAGTTCAACAATTGGAAGCCTACTTAATTTCAGTATTACCTGGTGTTGTGGGAATTCAACGACTGATATTAAACACCGCATAAACCGACTAATCAGAAAGCTAGGAACATAATTGCAAACTAAACACCCTTCACTTGAAGAACTCTTATCTTATCTTATCTTATCTTATTGATGAATGTCCCCTTTGACGGGGGTCTTATTGACGAAGGCTCATTATTCGAGGGCCATTTTAATTGGGAACTTAATTGCAAAGGGGGGGGGGAGCATTTTTTTCGGGGCTGCTATGTCATAGCTAAATTTTAGGGGCCAAATTGTCGGGGCCAATTAGGCGGTATCGTTTTGTCCCTGGCCGAATTGACGATGAACCCATTGTTCCATAACATAACAAGATAAATACGAGAGCATGCTGCCGCCAGAACGGTGTGCCTAAAGTGTTTTTTCCTTATAAGTTTAGTCGCGTATAGCCAAGTTTGTGACGCTCTATTAAGAAGGTCATGATTAAGTGGCCTTCACGTCAGAAAAAAGCATGAAAAAAGAAGATATCATGCTTATTCCATTCATATAGTGTTGGTTTAAATTAACTGCAAAGGTCTCTCTTTTTATTTATAATAATTATTGTCATCTTTTAGATATGTTCAATCTTTTTACCCAAGGCTCAATAGTCTCCGGCCCAACGCCGGCCTCAGGTAAACTCTCGCTCTGTGCAAGGTACCCGTTCGGCGCCCCCTTCCTAGAATGTACTGTCATAGGCAACGAATCTTTGTGCCAAAGTTTCAGCTCTAGAGAGTGACGGAAAGTGGGTCAATTAGCCGTCCGAAGATTTTGCCACTCACCCAGCCAGTAAGAAACACGAACAAAAATGATTTTAAAAATAAATCAAGTTTGGGCAACTGAAATGTCAAAAATAGTTAACTTTCTGATGAGGAGGTAGCCTCAATTTGTTGCCAGACTTCTGAAAATGCAATTTAAGGGTGTGGCGAAAATCGGGAGGTTGGGAATTTAATTTATATAGGTCTATAAAACCGATAATGTAACAGTGTGAGACTCATTTTTAAAATGTAATGTAGATTATTCTTTTAAAAAAGGAAATAGGCCTATTATAATTACAGTGGAACCTCTCATAACGAGCACCTCTCATAGCGAGTAATTCGCATAACGAGCAAAAAAAAAAAAAATGTGAAGAAGTTGCTCCGTTAACGAGCAACATTACGCATAACGAGTTACGCAGTAAGGGGAAGTTCCTTTTTCCCTCACTTCTGCTTGGAAAAACCTTTGGCCAGAGAGTGTTGTTGAATATGATTGTGAAACAGTACCTGTGGAGTCTACAGTTAACGAGATTGTGTCATCGGCTATATCATGGGACTCCAGGTAGACAACAACGATATTGAAGAGCTTGTGAAAGAGCACAGTCAAGAGTTGACCATCGAAAAGAGCCTATGGGGTTGCATCGTGTTTCACAGCAAGAAATTATGGAGGAGAGCTCATTAATGGAGGAGGAAGTAGCAGAGCAACAATCTTCTAGCGCAATAAGAGAAATGCTGAAATCATGGGAAATTGTTGCATCGTACATTGAGAAGCATCACCCTAATAAGGAGGTGGCTATTCGTGCTACAAATTTATTTAAGGATAATGCTGTGACACATTTTCGTCAAATTTTGAAGCGTCGGCAAAAACAAATGTCTTTAGACAGTTTCCTAGTTAAAAAGGATTACTTATTTGTCATAAATTCATATTTTTATTTACGTTTTTTTGTTTCAAATCTAAATTGTATTCCAAGTTGTTACACTCTTTAACAATTCATAGGTAATTTTATGTCAATAAATGTTAATACAATTTTTTGAAAAATGAGTATTTTTTCAGCATATTTTAATTTGATTTGTATGTGAAAAATTGTTTCGTTTTAACGAGTGTTTCACTTAACGAGAAAGATTCTGGAACGAATTATGCTCGTTATGAGAGGTTCCACTGTATATACAGCATAGGCCTACTGGAAGGCAGCTTTCATGTTGAAGAATTAATTTAAAGAAATAAATAAGCCTACACCCTATGACCTTTCCCCCTTAACTTGCATTTATTTCTTATAACAATATCCGTTTTTCCCCCACGTCAAAAACAATAAAAAATATACGCCATGGGCGTGGCAAAATGCGTGTGTGTGGATGGGGTGGAGTTTAATGAGATTATTCATATATATATATATAACCAAAGATATTAAAAACAAAATTAGAGACGTAAAAATTTTAGGATAAATGTAATTTTCTAAAAAGTCTAAGGGAAAAGGAGTCGTAAAATAAACGAAATTATTGTTTTCTTTAATAACAAATCAAGATCAAAATGGTCTGAAAGCTTTGAAAGAAATTGAGAGCAGTTGCTGTTATAGTTGAGACCGTTGATTTTATCGTTTCCGGTTAACAGTAGTAGCTTGTTAATACTGCTCTATTGAAGTTATAGATGTAAAATAAACAAGATTTAGACTACTGAGGCGTGGTAAAGGAAAGAGCAATATGTTAGACTTTTTCACTATCTTCAGCAAGGGTGGAATCGTCCTGTGGTGTTTCCAAGGAACATCACAGCTCTTCACACCTTCTGTTAATGCCTTGATCAAATCAGTAATTCTTCAGGTATGAAGAAATAGTATGTTACTAAGACTAAGTAATTGATTATTGACAGATCCTAAAATTAATTTATTTCCTGCTACCACTCTATTGATTGGCATTGGTTTCACTTTTAGTTTGTTTTTAACCATAAAACTTGAATTATTTAGACCTGCTGTCAGGTGTTAATTTTACAATCCAGCAGATTTTGTCAGACATCTCTCATTGAGCCCATTCAAACCCATTCCAAGCCCAGACCTTCTGGCGCTTTGCCTTTCGGTACATGGGAATATGCACTTTTAACGATTATGTAATATTATATATAGGCCTAAGATTCGGTCTAACATATCCATATAAATAAGTGATACATTTATGCTAATCAGTAACACCTGTTTCTCTGTATTGAATTTTTTTTTTTTTGTCATGCCACCATCTTTGTTGGCTTGACAGCAGACATGTCATAAAAAGTAGTTGCGTATTTTAGGGACTATTAGACACATTGTTTTCTTTGAAAAATTGCCTCCAAAATTCAGGAGAGTCTTATTCTAATACTCAAAATAATATAAGAATGGTAAAAATGTTATTTTAAAAAAAAACTGCTTAAAAATTAAGGTGCGTCTAATAGTCAGTCAAATACGGTACCCAACACGGAGAGACAAATGAAAATAATAAAAATGATGGGAATGGGTTTATTGATTAAAACATTTTAATTTTAAATGTATTGCTATTAAATAACTTTTTTCCAAAAACCCTTCAACCCTAAATTCTTTCACTAAACTTAACCTAAATGTCCCTATTGAGACAGTTATTTTCTCTGGCACAACATCAGTGTATCCCTTACACTAAAGTCGGCTCTCCTGATGTGAACCATGCAGTAAAATGAGCATAAAATTAAAACTACTTACAGACATGGAATGTTTACAAATATTTTAAAGTTCAATACTTATTATATGAAGCTTTTACTTGAAAAATAAATTGGGCAATACATTTTGTTTTGCAAGTTGTGTCAAAATAATTTTATTATAATTCTCATAATAATTTATGTAGGTGTTTTCATTTCGTATATGTTTTGTGTTCATAAAACTGCTGTCAGGAATTAGGTCATAATAATTATAAAATGTTTAAAAAAGAGAGTTTCCCACTTTTTTGTTATCAGGAAAGATCAGGAAATAATTCATTCTCACATGAATCCTTGACTCTGAAGTATAAACTTGACAATGAATTTGAACTTGTTTTTGTTGTAAGTATGTTTTTAAAAATTATAGATTAGCAAATAATTTTGTTTTTACATGAACTAATACTTTTCTGTTAATCTTACTCTTTGAAAGAGTTAACTTAATGAAACCTATTATTATGTCAGAAATAGTGATATGAAAATTCTTAATTAAATTTGATTCATGAAATTTTAATTTCAGGTTGCCTATCAAAATATACTACAGCTGTCATATGTGGACAAGTTCTTGAGCGATATTCAGCTCAAGTTTAGAGATAGCTACAAAAATGTTCTGCTAAATGGACACTATGGTGGTCAAAACTTTGATGATTTTAGTGAGCCATTTAGTATCATTTTGAAAGCAACAGAAGAGGAAGCCAAGAAAGAGCAAACAGCAAAGAAGTAATCTTTTACTATAATATTACATCTTCTTCTTCTTTATTTTAAGGGCCCACGATCAATGAATTGATCATTCTGGCTTTGGTAATTTTATGTCTGTGGGTAAGCCTTATAATAAGCAGCAACTTTTAACAACAAATCCATTTTTAGCTTGCCTCCCCTCTCAACTGTCGTGAGTTTGGCTTTGACATTTGACCCTTTACTTCACCAAAAACTTCGTCGACACCTACTTTTTATTATCATAATTTACTATTCACATTTTCTTTACAGAAAAATGAGGACTTTTGAGGATTCCCTTAAGTCTAAAAAAACTGTGTCCTCAATGATTGAAAAGAAAGATGATAAAAAAATTGGCAAAGGAAAAGAGAACAAACTCCCCAAAGGTAAAACAAAATTCTCTTGAGGGAAACTTTTAAAGTCTCTTAATTTTGATGTTGTAAATCATCCCAGAGATCAAATATTTTATTTATTATACAATTTTTACTTGTATTGTTTGAACGAATAAAAATGTTTAAGTCTTCTGTAATATTATTTTCTATACAGTGTAATAGTAATATTCTTTTCTGTACAGTGCTGGCTGGTAACATGTTTGTTATAGTTGAAAATATATACAACTTCAAATCAACCTAGGAGTATGTTTTGTTATGCATACATTATTATTATAAATTTAGTGAAAAATTTAAAATAACTCCTCGAATGTTGACTTAGTATCTAATCTTCAAAGGAAAAGTTGAAGCCCCATCAAACGGATCTCTGCCAACACCCCCATCATCACCGCCTTCCTCATTATCGCCAGTAAATGTGAACGGAGATGGCGGACTAGATGAAGAGACTCGCTTGAAAAACTTACAAAAGCTTATTATGTCTAAAGGAAAGAAGAAGCCATCAACGACCAAGTGAGTTTTTATATATATATATATGTCATTGCACAAAACTTTTCTATATTACTTTCTTGCCCCAAGGTTTAGGGATTTGCTTGTGCAAGTGTGTAATTTATAAAGCTAGTGTTGGGTGGAAAGGGGGGGGGGTGTTACTCTCTCCACATTTTGTTTGTAAAGATAGATCTAAATATAGCTTATCTGGACAATTTTTACACTAGTTGCTTTGGAATGAAAAGATCACGTGGGCAGAAATTTCATTAGATCTAATTCTTGTTGTTGTTAGAGCAATTATTAAATACTTATTCTCTGTGCCGCAAAGCATCCAGCCCTAGGACCATACTGTGTATAATACTTATCTCAGTTGGGTATCCTGTAATGGTATTATATGGATTTTAACTTCATTTAAATACATCTCTGATATTTTAAATAGAAACAGTGGGATGTGAACTGAATGTAAAGCTTATGAACATTTTCACACTCGATCTTAATGTTCTATGTTGAATTTTTAATGCTGCCCACATTTCAGTAGTGTGCGGCTTATCATTGAATGTGAAACATTTTAAAATAATATTTCAGTAAAAGCCCAGAAGCACCAAAGCGTAAAGGCAAGCAGGGAACCAAGTGGGACAATGGAGGCTCTACAAAAGACACTGAAACTCTGGACTTCAATCCATTTACTCCAGAAAATGGTTCTGACAGTTATCTTGTAACCCCAGCAGAGGTCAGATTTCTACACTTTTTGCTTTCGAATGAAATATTCATATTTAGAATAATGTTTGGGTTGTTTGAAAACTAAACAATTTTACTACTAATCAATATGTATTGCTATGGTAAATTAAGATAAAGCTTAATTTTTCTAGCAATATAGTTTATAGAGTTGATCAAATTATTTTCAGCAAGTTCAAGTTGGTCGAATGTCAGGTCCAATTAAAGACATAGATAGTGCCAGCGATGAGGAGGAAGAAAACTTTGATGATGAAGAAGAAGAAGAGGAGATTGTTCAAACAAAAAAGGACGTTTCTCATGCTAAGTATGGTTATAAATTTTCTTATATTTAAATCAAATAGCGTAAAAAACATTCTTGAAAGCAGGCTTCTTTCGAAATACTGGTAATTTAAATTATAAAAAAAACCCCACCTCCAATGTCTCAAATTTTGCGTTCACATGAATTTTGTTTTTTCCTCTTACATTCAGCTTATGCTAAGCTTATCAGACATTGTTTTTACTCTGACCAGATCCAGCAAAGGTGGGATGTTCAGTATGTTCAGAAATTTGGTTGGCTCTAAGACACTGACTGCTGAGCACCTCAGACCAGCCTTGGATAAAATGAAAGACCACCTCATTGGTGAGTTGTGTTGAATGACATGGCATTGAATTAGGACGGCTTGGCTAACTGTGTTTAAGTGTGATTGACATGTCAACCCGTTCTTCCACATCATCCGTCCATCTAAGCCCAGGTCTGCCTTTGAGCCGCTTTCCTCCGGGGTTTTGGTGGCGCACCCTCTACACTCCGCTCTCATTTGGCATTCTTTCCAAGTGTCCCGCCCAGCATACCATGCGCTTTTTTAAATTTCTGCCACAAGCGTGGAATTCTGAAAATAGAGTATGTAATTCCTGGTTAGTTGGTATTCTCCATCGATAGTCATCCTTTACCGGTCCCTATATTCTTCTGAGATCTTTACTTTCCCATGTATTTAATATGTTTGTAAAACTTTCTTTAGTTAACACACTATCCAGAATACCTGATTCGATGAATGAAAAAGTAATATTTAACATTCCAATATATGCAGACAAAGAAAAATGAAGAAGGAAAAAAAACGGACACCCTATTTTTGTTGTCTATGTTTTCAGCTAAGAATGTAGCAGCTGACATTGCAGACAAGCTGTGCACTTCAGTGGGATCCAAGCTAGAAGGGAAAATTCTTGGAACATTTGGAAGTAAGTAGTCTGCTATGTATTTTCAAATTCAAACCCCCTAAAAACAAAGTTTTTTCGTATAAATCCTTGTTATACATTTATTGTTATTTTAATTTAAATTAACATTCTAATGTCCCTCCCGCTTTTACATCGCAGATTCATTTCACCAAGTATTTCAGGAAAACAAAAGAAAATGTTATGCACCAAACGCATTTGCAGTATTTTTTTTTAATCCTGATAAGCGCAGTTATCAGGAATTTTATTTTGTGAAGTCAGTGGCACCATATTTCCTTGAACTTCCCCTTGAAAAGCAGGGTTTTTGGAGGTGAGGGTTGAGGCTGGAAATTTGATAGAATGTGTTGTCATCACCAGTGAGTCTATGTGTCAAGTTTCAGCTTTGTTAGGTGGATGGGAAATAGGTCAATTAGCCGTCCCTAGATTTTGCCAACACACCCAGAAAGAAATTCTAAAACAAAAGTGAAGTTAATATAAAGGATTTAATAATATATAAATATTCAGGTTTTTTTTTTACATTTAAAAGATAAGTGTCACAGAATAATTTTTATGTTGTATTTGGAGCAGGCTCTGCTGCTACTTGGGCCGGGGGGAGGGGGGGGGGCATCTCCGCGGTATAGCAGTGTTAATTTGACTTTGAGTTCTGGCTGTCACTTAGTTTGACCCTTGTCTGCAGGTGTGGCCACCACTGTGAGAAACACCCTCCAAGAAGCCTGTGTTCAGATCCTCTCCCCACGGCGTCGTGTGGACATTCTGCGTGATGCGATGGAGGCCAAGCAGCAGAAAAGACCTTACGTCATCACTTTTTGTGGGGTCAACGGAGTGGGAAAGTCTACAAACTTAGCCAAGGTCCATCATATGTTTCAACATATAAATGAGATTATAAGGACTTTATTGTATCTATTTATCATTTTTTTCACCCAAATATTTAATCCTGATTTTTATTCTGAGAAGTATTCTCAATATAGCATCTATTTTTACGAATCTTTTTTTTTAATTCAACCAACTGTGGTTTATGTTTTTATTTTTAATCTTATTTTCTAAATGTTGAAGAGCTAAAACTTGATGGATGTCATATTTTTGTTATACATTTTAATCTATCAAAATTTGATAAGGCCTTTGAAAAAATTATGGGGTGAAAAAAAATCAAAGAAACTACGGAAGAAAATTTTGCTAATTCAAAACAACAGGTAGACCCAAAAAATGAAGTTGAACAATTTTTTATCTTACGGATTTTCTTTCCCCAATAAAATGTTATTCATTTTTTTTGTTGCAGGTGTGTTTCTGGTTGGTTGAAAATGGTCTCAGTGTTTTAATTGCTGCGTGTGACACATTTAGATCTGGAGCCGTTGAACAGCTGAGGACTCATGTACGCAAGTTGAATGCACTGCACCCTAAAGGCACCCATGGCCGTGAAATGGTTCAGCTCTACGAAAGAGGTTATGGAAAGGACTCTGCTGGAATAGCGATGGAAGCGGTTGCCTCTGGTGAGTTATTTAATGAGGTGACCTTCAGCAGCTTTATAGCAGTGTTTATATTTATAAGTCCTAAATGTGTCTTTTACGTTCTTAAAAAATTTTTTTTATTCATTTCAGCTCGAGATTATCATATTGATGTCGTCCTGATAGACACAGCTGGTAGAATGCAAGATAACGAGCCTCTGATGAGAGCACTTAGTAAAGTAAGTGCCTTTTAAGTTCTTATATAAAACAAAATTTCACCTGTTTCAATAATTCGTGATTAATTAATCAGAAAGGAATTTTAAAAAAATAGTCTTATTTGTGTTAAAACTGTTATGGCTAGTTCGGGAAATGGAAATAACATTTCATTCACTATTTTAAACAGGAGATGCACATGCACAGATGATAATATGAATAGTAGAGTACACTTTTGATAACACATTTTACAGAGCTCGTGTCTAATCTTTGAACAAACATAAATTTGTAAGAATTATAAATAGTTATTATTCAATCTTTTAATTGTTGCAGCTGGTGAAAGTCAACCAACCGGACCTGGTGCTGTTTGTGGGGGAGGCTCTGGTTGGCAACGAGGCTGTGGACCAGCTGATGAAGTTCAATCAAGCGTTGGCCGACCACTCTCAGTCCACCAATCCTAGGCTGATTGATGGGATCATCCTTACCAAGTTTGATACAATTGACGACAAGGTGAGCACCTCTTTTGCATTTATTGTTATCTCAGACTCTGAATTTGTGTTAGTTTTTTATTTTTAGCCTGGTGAAAGGGGTAGAAAAAAATCATTATACACCACCTGACCCATAAGGGAGACATTCATTTTTAATTTTTAGTTAGGATGTATATATATTTATAATGTAATGTAAATTCAACTTATACTTATATGACTAAAATTATTTTCTATGTTGGTTATGCAAATAATAGTAATAGTAAAAGGGTTGTAATCTGTAACTACATTTTTTCTTCTATACTTCAAAATATTTTCATACTTTTGGTGTAATGTTGAAAGTTTGATTTGTATTTATGTAGGACATTTACCAAAGATCACAGAATGGCTATATATGTTCTAAGCTTAGATTTACTAATGTATAAATAGATACATTTTGTCTCCTTTACCCTTGCCTTTCCCCCTATGTATCCCCATGCCATCTTTTTAATGCTGGCATCTCAATTGTGAATTATGGTTAGGTGAAGTATGGTTAAGTATAGTATATCTTGGTTGAGTACACGTGATGTCTAGTAGGTGAAGTAACTAACTGATGGTTGTGAAATGAGTCCTTGTCTTGCCCTTACTTATAATATGCTACATCTGTTCTGATTTATCCCCAGGTTGGAGCAGCCATCTCTATGACTTACACCACAGGACAGCCCATTGTGTTTGTTGGCACTGGACAGACATACAGTGACCTCCGTAATTTGAATGCCAAGGCTGTGGTGTCTGCCCTCTTGAAGCCATAAACGTTTGGGCCTTGGCTCTTGCCGATTTCTTTCAGAGATGTCTTTACCAAGATCTAATAAAATTGACAGCGCCACCATAACAAACTGCACACAGATGTTTTTGACAAAAATCATATTAACTTGATAAAAATCTTAGTAAATTGACAGTGCCGCCATAATGAGCTGTCCACAGATGTGTTAAAAAAAAATTATTAAACCTACGTCGTCATCTTTAATAAACCGCACACAGTTCTTCAATGTCGAATCCCATTGTTTTTGTTAGCACAATAATGTCAATGTGCTTACTTTATGGAATAATTTTGACAAATGAGCCATAAGACGCTAATCAACTATAGACTTTGTAAAAGAAATGCATCTTTTGTCTTTATTTGAGTGAAATGTTATATTGCAGGTTTCAAATTTCAACAATTCTTTTATTTTGGTTTTAACCAAAACATAAAAAAAACCCACCAAAGTATAGAAGAATAATGGCTAACATTTTTTCCTTTGTTGGGAATAAAATTATAATTTTTGTTCAATACTCACAGATGGTAATTATCATAATTGTTAAATTTTAAGAAAATGTATTGGTTAAATATCAAGAAACAATGACACCAATGATTTTCAGTGAAGTTCATAATTTTAGAGGCACTTTGTTTTCTGTTCATCCGTAGTAGTGTTAAGAATTTCATCGGATCTGGGAAAAAAAATTGCTACCTGGCATCACTTTTTTCCCTCGTCCTGTTTTTAGGCAAAATGCAAATTTATAATCTCCTGGGTTCCTTAAAGTAATTTTGTGAGACAGTTAAAAAAAAAAATATAAAGATTTCTTATTCCATACCACTCAAAAAGTGAAGAATCATAATGAAGGGCCAAGCTCATGTCAGATTTTTTTTTATACAACCCAGCCTGTTTTTATCTCTCAAGTTACATTTATTGTTTACCATCTAATTGTTATACTGTCTTTTTTTTTAAGCATGACTCCTAAATGATACTATCACAATGTTTGTTGTACCAATATAAAGTAGTATTACGATTCAGTCACTCATGTGTTGAAACATTGTATTTTGTATTCACCTTATTTCTTATTAGACTAATTCTATTACAGTAAGTTAATCATGAATATGTTATTTTAATTTAAATTAAAAAAAAAAAAATGTAGGTTTGTTCTGGAAATGAAACATTGAACAAAAAAGCAATTACTTCCAATGTTAACCTAAAGGTGCACTGACTTAATCTAATGCTTAGTCTTACTGACTGACACATAGATTTCATGTAGACTGAAACCTCTCCTCTTTATTTTTATTACAGGAACTTGATATGTTCTTTAAAAGCAGGCCTGCACATCATACGGCCCGCGGAACCCACTTTGTGGAGGGCGGAGTAACGAAATAATTCTTTATTATTATTATTCTCTTAATAGCTTTTCCCCGCTGTCCTATTTTCTTTCGGCCCGCTGCAAGTTTTTCATAAAGTATTACGGCCCGCCTTACATTCTGAGTTAAGCAGGCCTGTTTAAAAAGTGTCCTAGTGAAGTTCAGTGTAAGATTTGTTACCCCTTGGAATTAAAATGAGTGTTTTAGTAAGCATTCCATAATTACTTATGATAAGCAAAATTTATGCTGTTCAAATCCATCATTATTTTCATGCAGTTAGGCCCCTCGGAATACCCCTTTATTGTATTGACTTCAGGTATATGATGATGTCTTCTACATAAATGTGTGTTTAGGTTTTATTTCAATTTTTTTCCCCTTTCTTTTGACACTGTAATTTGACCCTGTTAAGGACTGTTATTTTTGAAAATTTATTCTTTATATTTTACTTTTGATTTAGATCAAACCTTTAAGTTGAAACGATATGAAATCTGTCATTTCAGAAGAGAATTTATTCTCAAGCAGTCTAGTCTAAGTCATTAAGTTTTATTTATTAATGTCAACAGTTGTGAATTTTTCGTTCCCAGTTTTATTTCCAGGTTTTGGGTTTCTTTTGTGTAAAATTAGAAAGGCATATTCTGGAATGTGTAACATTAAGCACTTAAATTTAAGATCTCATACTAAAGTTTCTCTTATGTTTTCATCCCCTGTTATTTTTGTTCTCTCTGTTACTTACTAATAGAATTGCAAAGTCATGTGATATGTTTTTTAATGGCCATTAATGTTCTGAAACAATGGCAAAGAGTTAAAGTAATTTTGTTGCATTTAAAAAAAAAAAATTTCAAAGAAAACAAATAGTTTGAAGTTTATTTAAGAAGATTTCAAAACATAGGCATCATCATAAAGAAACATTATTTAAGAGTTTTATCTTTTGGTAGATATTAATTGTTATTATAATCCCAATTAATAAATATTATCTACCATTGAATATACATGACTTTCTATGAACCATGTATGTTTAATAAAGATATAATTATGTTACCACATAAATAATCATTTTTATGTCATTCATCATACCTTACTGTTATGAAGTAAGCACCGGTACACATTTCAGATAAATAAAATGTAGAGAGAGCGATTGTACTGTTCATTACGTAGAGAATAAGACGTGGTATATTTGACAACTATTGTGAATTTTTTTTGTAATGAGTTGAAATTTTTGCTTTCTTTTAAGCAACAGTTTGTAACTGCATACACATCACAATAAAGTCATTAAGTGGTCAACTACTTTTTTTTTAAAGAGATATAATTGAGGAATAAAGTCTTCTACACATTTCAGTTGACGGACTGCCTCAACTCTCATGCATTTCTTCACTTTTGTTAACATACATTTTCTGCATCTCTTTAAGCATCTTATAATAACATTGTGATATTTGTGTGTACATTTATATATGAAACTGAACATGTTGTTCTTTAACACGACTGGGCCCTTAATTTTTGCAACAGCAAAGACTTTATTTGTTGTACATTGTCAGTCACATGTTTTGATGGTGGATGGGTTTTGGCTTCCTTCAGAATAAATGTTTTACTATTTACAGCAGCTCCTCTTCATTGAGTTTTTTTTTTACCTTCAAATATTGGACATTCCATCATACAGTCACCCAAAATTATCAACAGTCAGTCATCTCACTTGCATTATTCCATTCTCACATTGCTAATGTGATGATTAAATTTAAAGAAATACATTTTATTTGAAAGCATTTTTTTTTTTGGTTTTGTTTTGGTTGAAAAACATACATTTGAACTTTGCAGAAATTAACTTTAAAGATTCCAGTAATAAAAAAATATTTTATGGCTCTACCTAAGTGAAATAAAGTAGAGATAGACCCAAATATTATATTGGTTCATTGTCAATATCATTAGTTATTTACTTCAAGTGCTATAAGAGAAATTAAAATAAGGCATTATCTAGATATAGGGATAAATAACTTGTACATTAAAACAACCCTAAGCATTATATAATCCACATTAAGTACACCTGCCAAATATACTTGCTCCATTTGGTCAATCATAATGTTACTTCAGGAATGTTGGGCATCTGTTTTTATCAAACACAAGACATTTATCATATACGAGTTTTACCCATTATTATTAGTTTTTTTTTTTTCATCTAACAAACAGTGCTTAAATTTTAAAAAAGTCATTTTATTGAAATTACTTTCATTTGGTAACTGCCAACATTTTTTTTCTTTAACTGTAATGCCAAGGCAGTAAATGGTCAACTGAGGAGGTTTCCAACAGAGCAAACATAAGGCCGAATTTATAAAAAAAGATTTCAGTATTCTGTTATGAACTTCCATGAAGTTAATAATTAACAATTTGAAATGTTGCAAAATGAAGAGAATTTTCTGATTTTAAATTTTAAGAGCAAAATTTTACTTTTTGGGAACAAATTCAAATTTGTTTTATTGACAAAATTCTGAAATCCCAATGAAAAATAAATACCCCTACATCTGTGGCAGGAAGGAAGCTGCCTCTCAACATCAGAATCGAGTCATTAATTTGGCATATTTAGGTCAGGACTGTAAAATGCCATGTTCATGGTGGCGGTGGGGAGCTGGATGGAAAAACAAAAATGAAAACTAGAATAGTCACGCTTTACATAATGATTTCTTTTTTCCCCTGAGGACACTCTTGTGATCATTTTGAGGAAACAAAAATAACAAATACAGGAAGTGCTCTTGCACCACTAATCTAGAAACTTGGGTGTCTTTAAAAAAAAAAGGATACAATTTAACTTTTATCTGGAATTGAATGCAAACTTAACAAGCGGTGGCACAACATTCAGTTTATTAATCATTACTATTCATGTGTGCGTGGTGGCCGAGCGGTCTCATCTCAGTCGAGCCCAAGCTGGTGGACTCAGGCTCAATTCCCCAGGTAAAGCTAAATCATCACCAGTTCCCTGGGTGGATGGGATGTGTTAACCTTGGAACACATCTAAGAGAAGGCCAGCTCTGAAATCAAACCTGGAGACAGAGTCCCGTAGGCAATATGACATTGACACAGGAAATTTGGACAGCTCCTGCGATGTAGATTGGATTGTGATAGTGAGGCTGAAAAATTGAGCACCTCTCCCTCACTTTAAAAGAAAATACAGCTCAAGTCGAAAATTGCCTTTGTACTCTGTCTTCAAGTGCGAAGGACAAACAATAATTATAATACACTATTCCCACAGATACAGAATTAGGACAGCAAGTATGTCAAGACAAAAAATATGAGGAATTATTATTTTTATTATGCATACGCTATTGCATTTACTATGCATGTCTTTAAATGCATTATAGTAGAAGTCTCTTGACTATGACCTTTTTAAAAATAAACTCTATAACTAGGTTTGAAATTATAGCACCCAATGCCACAAGTTCAATCTCTTAAAAATATACAGTAAATTAAGAAGGTTTCAATATTTAAGAAAACAAAAGAACAATCCAAAGACACAATTAAAAAAAATTAATAGCAGTGTTTGCCTTATGGTAACAGCATCCTGTTAGATAATTCTTATACATAAATGGAATGAATGCAAAAAAAATAAATAAATAAAATATGGTACCCATTATTTTCAATCTAGACTCTGCAGTTTAAACCAATGGACTTTGGCTCTGCTGGACTGAATGACTTAGGTGATATGAGATACTTGTACCAAAAAAAGATTTATATGATTAAATCAGACACATTTTGCATCATATAAATTTAAAAAGCTGGCCTTGCAAAATGGCTGGGGAAGGGTTTGAGCTTATTGAGATCTGGTTAACTGTTTCATTTACTAGCCTGCATAACAGAATACAATTCTTGGTTAAAGCAAACAAAACTAAACTGACGTGGTTTCCACTTGAGAGAATTTACAAAGAAAATCAATAACCTTAAATGCATTAAAAATAGTTTTGCTTGAGATGATTGAATAATATGACAGCATGAAAAACACAATAATCAAAAGACATTATTACAATGAAATTAAATGATAGCCTTCATTAATCAACTGAATTTTTAAAATAATTTCCTTTTTTTTCCCTTCAGAAATTATAAACTTTATTTCTTATGATAATTCAAGAAAATTGTAAATTCCAGCATTCTTAGGCTTCTTCTTCAAAAGCAAGGAAACAAAATACATCAACTGAATTGAAAAAAGTTGTACATTGAACAATATGTGCTCAGTGCTATTGCAACACCTATAATTCTCTTAAGATGATCAGATATGAACAAGGCATACATAACTGAAACAAGACTGACACAGACATTCCTGACACAGAGGCAAATGACACAGACAAAGCAATGATGATAATTATCTGGTGGTTTTAGGGAAATCATTTTATGAGTTACAATGATTAATTGAAAACACATTTCTTGAAGTAGAATGAATATAGTCTATACATAATTCAGGTACTTAATCCACATAAAAAATTTATTTCTCTGAATAAATTAAAATAACACATGTTCTTTGGGAAAAAACAAAACACAACTGGATTGGGGGAATGTTATAGTTCAAAAGCAGAAAAAAAAAATTTGGTCCACAGATTTCTGAAAAAAATATTGTAGTAATTTATGTCATCTGCATTACAATATTCACATTATCCAAATATAAACTGACAAAAATGAAGGTTAAAAAAAAACGTCTACAAAATTATTAATATTATTTAACATATTTATCTGAATAAGTAAACTTAATTACTGTAATTTATTCACCTTATTTAACTCCTACAAATTTATAAATCGCACTTCCCCCACTTATTACAGGGTTAAACCAATATAAAATGGCCTTCAGTTTTGAGCTGAGCCTGAAGTTTTCAAATTATAAACACATTTATTGAATAAGGTGTTCTAAATATTAAGGGTTAATTAAAACGGTTATTAGTTAAAATAAAATCGAACTTCTATGCTCAGTATCAAAGCAATCATTGCTACAAAATTTTATATGTTACCAAGCAGACAAACTTTGACTGCATCATGTCGATGTAGTGGCTACACTTTTTAAAAAGATAATAAACTCACTTTCATTACTATTCAAAGTGTACAGAGAATAAGTGGAAAACAATTTTAAAAAAAAACAATTTTTTTTCAATTATATTATGGGTAAGATATTAAATACATTTCATATTTTAATCAAAAGACATTTCTCAAATATCATCAACAAGTTATTAGTTTTTTTAAAAAAATCTATTAAAAATTTTTTTACAAGAAAAAATTGTGGTATAAGAGTTAACGGGTGATGCATAATAACATATTTTCTCATTTGAAATTGTTTTTTTGCATCTCAATATAAAAAAAATATTTAAGTGTTGTGACTGCCCCAAATTTTTCTAAAAGAAGAAATTCATGCTTTCTCTGGATTCAGTGTCAATAGGCACAAGTTTAAATTAGTTTACTGTCATATTTTAAGAGCATACTGGCAGGAGGGTTTGTAAAAAAAATAAAATAATGGCCTGTTGAAAATGGACACTGCGGTTAACTGTTTCGTTGTCTTAACTTTCGTTGACGCCTACACTCTTTGTTGCTTGCAATCATTGATCTTGTAATATTATTTTTTGGCCCGAGCTATCAGAAGCTGTTAAAATTCTGACACTGCCATCTGTATTAGACATGCGAAACTGTACCAGCAATGCACATCTGTATCGGACATGCACGCCTCTGTATTAGACATGTACATTTGTGTCTGACTGGCACACCAATACCTGGCCTAGACAAATATTTCAACATGAGCATTGTTTCACCCCCATCTAGGAGCGGTTGTAAAATTATTTACTTGACATGAATACAACTGGAGACAGTTGCATACACGCCCCTCCCCCCCCGGCTGTGACAAAATCAAGATAATCACTCATAAAGTCAATACTGTCACTAAGGGAGCGCAATATTTATGGTCAGAGATGGACTGATTTTTTCGCACTTGAGAAACTTTAAATGTCATGAGTTTAAACTGATCTAGTTTAAAAATGTTGTCTAAGTAAGAATATTTGAATTTTTATCAAATGGCTGAGAATGATTTAAATGTAATCAAAACGCATTTTCTTTTCATTTTAAAATAAAAACGCATTTCCTTTTCATTTTAAAATAAAAAAGATATTATCTTAAGTCAAAGTTAGGAGAGAATTCCATGTGGTAACTGTTCATAAAAACGCCCACAAGTAAAACATAGAGTCCTGACATCATTAACTGAGGAAAGTCTTTTGTTTCTCTCTGTATTGACTCCAAATTTGAACTTGACATGTTGCAACCATTATTATATACGATCACTCAAAATCCCACATTTGCTAAAATAAAATATGAATTTTCAACTTGTGTAACTACAGATGTAAGAATATATTTGTAAAAAACTATCTACATGCAAATGGCCAATTTTATTTTTAAAAACACGTAACACATTAATAATAATTTGCAAAAATTTAAGAGATGGACAAATTAGAGTGATGTGAATCAAGTCTTGAGCCAGCCACACAATGTAAAGACTGAAACAGCATAAAAACTAAACTAACATTGCTGAAACAAATAAATTAAAGACAGTACTCTGTTGTACCTGGTATTATATATGGGAGACTGTGTAAAAGGTACAAGCCGTGTGAAAAAATAATTATTGGAAGAAGCTATGTTTAGGCTTGCAAAAAAAGAAATACAGAGCAATCAAAAGGATGTTTCAGCTGAATGTCTTCTTCAGAAGACAATAAAAAAAAACAAAAAAAAACCACAGCCTTAAGTGTTCCCAGATCACAATGTAGATCTCTCAGCCTTGTTGGAGAAACAAGGGACTGAGAATGCTTCATTGTGAACATTTTAACCATTCCATCCTTTTTTTTTCCCTGTTCAAGCTTATACATATTTTGTTCCACTAGCTGTTGTACTTGACATGTTCTAAGCTGATCACTCTTAACCGTGGGTGACTTCATTTTTTTTACTGTAATGAGCAACTCAGCATGTAGAAACAGAAACAAAGTTTAAAGTTTTCAATAAATGTACCAAAAACTGTGCGTTCTCTTGTCACTGCAGTAGTTCAAAAGCCTTAAATCTAGTTCCTTTAACTGGCCATTATTTATAAACTAATTATTTCACAATGTTCTGCCGCATTTGACAGAGACTGTTAATATGTTGTGAACAATAGAGTTGGAGGTATACATATTTTTTTTCTGCCGGTTCCTACTTCATGAAACATTAATATACAAACACTGAGTTGAACTGAAAAATTTTAAACAGACACCAAATTTTTTACAGACACCATGGCATGAGAAAATATAGTTTAAATTATGACATCTTCTTGTAACTTTTATGATTACATTCAAACATGTTTTTAAAAGGTTCATCTAACTAGCAAAGCAAAATGAATCATGGCATAGACTTTAAAATTAAACATTATTGTATGTTGTAGCAGTGGCACAGTTGGAATAGGAAAAATAGAAAAGTAAAAATTTAATCAATGCTTTGTACAGAAAATTGCATTACCAGCTTAGGTCACCAAGACATTTTTACATCACCACATCGACAGACAATTTTTTGTATGCCAGCTAATCACTCAGACAGTGTACATCGTCACATCACCACATTCTTTCCGCCTGCCGTCAAATCACTCAGACATTGCACCTCGTCACATCACAGATTCTTTCTGCCTGCCAACAAATCACTCAGACATTGTACATCATCCAATCACCAGATTCTTTCTGTCTGCCATCAAATCACTCAGACATTGTACAACGTCACATCAGATGACTCTTTCTGCCTGCCCACCTGGAAGGGCCATAACCACAGCAGGGGGTGACCTGAAAATACAATAATCTTTATGCTAACTGGATCATAAAACAATATTTGGTAAACCCTTGTGCTTTAAAGTGGATGCACTTAAAATAAAGAATTTTATGAATGCTGCCTAGTCATCAGTTTTACATTGGCTGCTAGCAAATTCAGCCAATGATCCTGTAAATATTTATAAAATAAATTAGTTGACACATAGTCAATAACTGATAAAATCCCTGCCAATGGTTGAAGACATAACACAATTTGTAATAGTTAATTGAACCATTATTTTTTATACTTGTTTGTATCATTTATAGCAAGAGTTAAGTTTATTGTAAACATGGCAAAATAAAATTGATTAAAACTAAATGGTGAGCGAAAATGACAGGCTGCTATAGTTCTTGTATGAAGACATTTTGATGAGGCTGTAAAAAAAAATTAATCATTTTATTTTAATCTTGCTCTTTATCATGCAGAAGAAATCTTAGGCAGGTGGAAACAAATGTATCTCTAATTGAGCAGTGGAGTTTTTATTATAACTTTACACAGAGGCCCTAATTATGAACTTTGGGGTTACTTTCTCAGAATTCCCTAAGATTGGAGATATATTCAAGAAGATCCAACCAGAAACGACATTTTTGTTTAATTTGGTTTAAACCTATAGGTAACAGTGAGGCACAGTGTTATGCCCCCATTGAATGGCTGTAACAGCACAAGAAATAGAAGAACTTAGTTTTATCCCTTAAATTTGTATTCATGGCACATTCCTACGAAAACATAGATCACTAAGGGCAGCAAGGGAGACTATCATCTGTTCGAAATTCAGTCTTTAGTCTGTTTCTATTTTGGTTAAATTGAGTAGCTTGCCCTTGGGGAAAAACTTTCAGTTGTGTTTGTTGCTTAAGATTTTTTTCCCTAAGCATGCAATACCAGCAGTCTTAATTCAACAATGAATGAAGTTGGCTGGCGTGAGGTCAGAGAGGCTGTAAAGATAATGTGGAGCTTATTAACAAGATCAACCCATAGAAAAAAATGAATGCCCTTCCCATGGGACACTTATTTAAAAAAAAAAAAAAATATGAGGCTTGCCCAATAGAGCAGGGGTTCTTAAAAAAGGTGACCGTATTGTGTTTGTTGCTTAAGATTTTTTTCCCTAAGCATGCAATACCAGCAGTCTTAATTCAACAATGAATGAAGTTGGCTGGGGGGAGGTCAGAGAGGCTGTAAAGATAATGTGGAGCTTATTAACAAGATCAACCCATAGAAAAAAATGAATGCCCTTCCCATGGGACACTTATTTAAAAAAAAAAAAAAAATATGAGGCTTGCCCAATAGAGCAGGGGTTCTTAAAAAAGGTGACCGTACCCCGACGGGGATGCAGGAGGCAGTATCAGGGGGTTGCAGAAAGGTTCATTTGCATTTTTATCTTTGATTTTTATAGTGGGGGTGGGGAAACATATATATTTTGAAATTGAGATGGGAGCGGAGAAAATGATTTGAGATCGATTGGGAATTGGGGGGCGGCGGTGGCACCGATCTGAAAAAATGTTAAGACTCCTGCCTTTGACTTTCTAAACTTCTGTTAAGACAGTTAAGTACAAAGTGTCACAAATAGAAGCAGACAACATTGCAAAGACCTACTTCTTCCAAAGACTTCTTGCAGTAAAGTATATCTGGATTTCCTGGCTCTCAGTGGTCCTTCTCTTTTGACATGCTCAACAGCTGTTTCGTCATTCAAAATTGCAGACATCTAATTAATACACACAAAATGAAGATGAGGCAATCAATATGTGACATTTTATTTATCAATCTAAATTTTAAAAAAATTAATGAGGGCTTCAAGTGTTTCTGACAACCAAAGTAAATTAAAATTCCTTTTTTTTTATGCTTCCTTCTTTAAAACAAAAAAGGAATGTTTTTGTTTAAGAAATATTTTAAGTACCGTATTTATCGGCGTATAACACACATTTTTGCTCTCTGAAAATAGGGGGCAAATGATGTGTGCGTGTTATACGCCGATATAATGTTAAGGTCCAATAGTACATTCCGCATAGCGGTGCCAATGGTGCGTGTTATACGCTGATAAATATGGTAAGTTAACTTATTCATAAGGCTAAATGATATGCAATGCTTTATATCTGTAGCCACTTGGCAGCTTCTGACCTGATCACAGCCAATGGCAATGACAAAAAGCCCAAATAAGATACTTTCTATCACAAGTATCACAGAATGAACTCTGAAAAAAGACACATTTTTTTGTTTGTTTACAAATTAGCTGATTCTTGTAACTTGACATAAAAATGATAATAAAACTAATGAAAAAAAAAATCAGTTAAATGAGTGAAGCAGAAAATAATTTGACATCCTCAGTTATTTATGCTATTGCACCTCTCTTACTTTCATCTGGCATCCTTGCTTCTGCCTCTTCGACAGATACATTTCATCTTTTCCATATTGAAAATTGCCCCCAAATTTTTTGCTCTATTACTGCTGGTCTTATAAGTCACAGTGATTAGACAAACTTTCTCTGCTCCCTCTCCTGTGAATGTCTGTACCATTACTATTCAAATATAGAAACGGGTGAAGGAGCAGACAAAGTGTCAAAATCAAAGTGTGCATTGTTAATGGGGCTGACAGACACATTATGTACATAATGATATGTAGGTAGTTTTTCTTCAAAGCCAAGAGCTGTTGTTATAAATTAAATTTGCTATATTTTGGGCACACCAGTGGTGTATTTTTTAATTGATATTATTCATTCAAAATATATGAATTTATTTATATATATATATATAAATATATATATATAGATAGTCATACATATATATGTACACACACACTCACATATACATATATTTACTCATAACTACACATATTCTAACATGACCAGTAATGCCACATTTATATGTTAACATCATATTCCAACTTACAGTTTTATGTGTTTAATCTCCTTCTTGACTTTTGGCTCCAGGGTCCAAGAAACAATGACCATCGTAATAGCAAAGACACTGGCCATACCTGAGAAATTGCAAAGCATCCTAATTAAAGCAGTTGAAACTGCTTGAATACATCTCAAACTAAGTAAATTTCATATTGTTACTTATGTTTATTACTGTGTAAAGAATGTTATTAATAGCTGACAATTTTCATTTAGTCCTCTATCTATGTTTTTCATTAAGTGTAAAGATGGTCCTAAATAGTTAACAATTGGTAAACATTTTTTTTTCAACTCGGTGCATACACACCAACAAAATTATCATCTTATTTTCATATGGAATGCAACTATTTTAATTATTTCACTCCATCATATTTTCAGACATCTGAAACTTTATTTTTATTATTTCCCCTCCAATACTTACCAACATAAAAAAGAAATTGGATAAAAAATCTTTGATTGTACTCTCCGACACAGTTATTTATCCTGAAACAGGAAGAGAGAATGCAGTAATTTGAACAAAATTTCTAGTGATATGCGCAGCAGTTTTGAGTATCCGCACAGCAAATTTCCATGTAAGTGTGTGTTTGTGGGGTGTACAATTTTCCATACAAAAAAACTGATGCTGTAAAACTTTGCACACAACTGTATGATTTCGCACATGAACCAGCTAACCTCAGAGGGGACATTGGTGATATGGCAATGGCAAATTAACATAAGGAATTAATGTTGCACAAAATTAAACAACCACTAAGTTTATCGTACAATTCCTTTGTATGCATTTTTCTATTGCCCTTTTTTATTTTATACTTATATTCTAATATCTTTTACACCACATATTTATTTCAACAATTATTTCAGAAAAAAAAAAAAGACGAAAATATTACCCACCAAATGCATTTGCAGCATTTTTAAATAAAAGAACCTCATTTAGTGCAATTATTAGGGGTTTTATTTTGTGAAATAAGTGTCATTCTACTTTCTTCATCTTCCCTTTGAAAAACTGATTTTTTTTGGGTTAAAGGGAGTGAAAGAATGTGTTGTCATTGGCAAAGAGTTTATGTGCCAAAATTTTGCCAGCCAGCGACGAACAAATGAGCGTTAATATAAAGGATTTTTTTTAAAAAGGACAAATTATGTCATTGCTCTTATTTAAATATAATGCTTATTTTTCCCTTATTTATAAAATCTATGCAAATTTGTTTTGGATAGTGACAAGATAGCTGGATTTTGCATCTTACAAAACAAACATATATTCACACAAGTATATTTTAGAAATTAATTATATAAATCATTTGTTGACATTTTAGTTTTACTACTTGATGTTGAGTGATATTATTTGCTGTTCTTATATCTATAATTAATAATAAAATATTATGGTGATTTAAATCTATTAAAAAAAAACCAAGAACATGTATATTAATTGACTATATTAAGCAGCTTGAGTGGCCCACTTGCTTTGAGTGTGTAGCCTACGTAGAAAATATCATTCAACTTTACAGACATCAAACAATCTTCTCATTCTTTACCATGGGCAGTGGTGATCCATGCGTCTGACACAGCGACGACAGACTCTGCAGTGATGAGCTCTAGGTGGTCTGTACGTTTCACACTTCATACAAACTGTCCATCCATCGTTCTGATAAACAAGAATAAAGTTTTATTCATTGATAAACAGTTTTATCTTTTGTAATATATAAAAAATAATTATAAGGTAAGACTTACTTTAAATGACTTTAAAAACAAGAAGAACCAGTAAACAATTCATTATTGGCAAAATATTTTTGTAAAAAAATATATATTTTGTTTACACTATTACTGACCGTCTTTCTTTTTGCAGTCTCAGAATGGATATCCGAAAAGTCAATGTTTGTTTTAGGTATAGGAACAATGCCAGGATCAGATAAAACAGCTCGAAGGTGTGAAACAGTCAGTAGGAAGACTATTGTATTAAAAAAGACCACACAAAATGCACCCCAGAAGCTGAAAAATAGGAAATAAGAAAAAAGAAGGACTTTACTGTTTACTGTTATATGACTTATTTGGAACTTTAAATAAATAATTTTATATTTCGATTCTGTTGACTTTAATTATGCTGTTTACAACTTATGACTATCCAAGACCAAAAATATCATAACCAAGAACCGTGCTGGTAAAATAAGCATCAATAGTAATTTTAACTTAGGTACTTCGATACTTCACTGCGCACATGAAAAATTACTTAGTTTGTTTTGACAGATTTTCGGCATGTGATTTTCAGTAACTTCAATTCATTTACTTTTTTGGTCAGAAATTTAAAAAAAAATAGATAGATTTCCTCATCAGTGATGTAGAGAGGATTCCCTTCCTGACAAGCTTATGCAAATTTCAATTGTTTTTTGTTATGCACTGCTGTGTATTGAACACTTTGTATGGTTTAATTGCTAATTCTTTTTTGTTAGCAACAATATGCGACAGTGGCCTAGTTTTGAATATCGTACATCAGTTTCTGAACATTCAAGTTGTTACATTTGACCTTTACACTTAAAATATATGTGCTATTATGCCTGTGAGACTCAGGAATAAAAATGATGACACAAAAAAAAGCCCCAGATTTTTTTCATTTGGATGCCGGAAGTGGTTATTAGTAACTTTAATTAGTACTATTGACGGAAGTGGCTATCAATAACTCTAATTAGAATTGCTGATGGAAGTGTCTATCAATAACTAATTAGTAATTAGAACTACGGATAGATTTACAATCACATTTGTAGTAATTAACCAGTAATATAATAACTTAAATGACTTTATACTCAATATCATTCAATATGTAAAAATAATTAAATAAATAAAAGTTTGATCGCATTATTATCTCGAACGATAATAAGATATTTCTAAGGCTACCATTACTACCGAAGTACAAAATTTTCACCCCTTTCTTTTCTATTTATTAAGTTAATAAGGGCCTAGTGCTACTGAGAGTAGCATTTGCACTTGTACTGTAGCGTTTACTAAATTAAAATCTAAACATGGAATATTTTGTCATAATCATCAGAATTTAACTCTTTATGTAATGCCCTTATTTATCTTTGTATTTAACAAGGAAATTTGTAACAAACTTTCCACATTTCTGCCTTATATTGGAAACGCCTTTTTTATTTTAAAAGATAATGGTACCAAATTTTCAGAAGACATTCTCAATGCAATGTGCAACACAATTAGCAATAAAACATTCACATAATATAAAAATTTTGTATTTCTGATAATTTTTATTTGAGGGAAACCATGAAACAAAAAATTGGAAAAAATTATTATTTATAAATGGAAATAAAATATAAAAAAACTGCCTCCATATTGTATTTTGGTTAAATATATGCTTCAGTTAAATTTCAATAAATTCTTATTTTTATTTACGGTAAGTAGAGGTCTTTAATTTAATACAATTGAATGCATGCATAATAAAATGAAATAATTTTGTTCTTTTTTACCTGAAATAGAAGCTTAGAAATAACATGTAATCATAAACTTGAAACTAAATCTACACATTTTATCATTTCTTTTTAGCAATTTTCAAGTTTTGTGTTTGTTAAAATTAATTAATTGTTTTTATTATTTTATATATTATTCTATGTAAACTGTTTTTCTATGTCTAGTCTATGTCCTAATAAAAATATAATTATGTCCAATTATGATGATGATGTTGAGACTTATTTATTTAATTGATGTCTTTTAATCTAATCTATATTACCTAAGTCTAAGTTTAAACAAGTGAGAGACTGTTTGTTAAGGCAATAATTTAATAAATATATTTTAAATAATATTATTTTAGAATATGCCTACTAATATTACTAATAAATATATGATAAATATTTCCAACAATTTACATTTCCCTAAATTATCTAACGCTACTAATATGTCATCATGTATGAATGTATGTTTAGAGACATAGGCATAGGCTGCAGGCATGCGTCACGAATCACAGATATTAAAAAAAAATTTTTTTGCAAAAATTTATATAAAAATGTGTCAGTAAAAATATTAGGGAATTTAAAATGACTAATAGTAATGATTACTAATGTAACTGTTGATATAGTAGTAGTGATAATAATAATGAATGATTCTGCATCATGAAGTTGAGTTGGGAAAGTCACCACACCAATTCTGAGATGAAAGTGAGATATTATTCGGTGTAAGACAGCAGTTGCAGTGTTCTGTACCGTAAGAGTAGTGCCATTGTATTACTTTATCTTTTTTAGAAAGTCAACCTACGTGGTGAGTGCGAGTTTCTTTTTCAAGTCCAAGACCATTCAAGAAAAAGTCAGAATGTTTAACTAAAAAAAAATGTCTCAGCTTCGAGTACTTAGGCCTATTATTTATTCAGAATTGTTCAAAATCAATGAAAATGCGTTAAAAGATAACTTACGACTCTGTCATTGATGGTATTACAAGATGTTTAACAACAACATAATCTGCATAAAAAACAGCAACATATGTAAAAAAGATGCAAATAATTCCACAAGGATCAAGCCTACAAACGGCCATCTTGTTTAGTTGGTGACAACAGAACGAAGAATATTGGATTGGAATCTTTATTAGCCAGTTAAAAAAAAAATAAAAACCCACATTAAACACGGTTTTTACTTTTAGTAGAATAAACCTACCTCCTAGTGTGAGATAAAAAAAACAACATATAAATGATTTTCATAATTGCAACCGTACGAAAGGAGGACTTTTAAAGTCCTAGATCTAATTGAAAAAGTAAGTAAAAGAGAGATGTAGGTCTATAACTCAATGGGAAAAATAAATGAAAATTGTAGGCCTGAAACTAAATGAAAAAAAAAAAAAATTGAGTCAAACACCGAATTAATGACTCCTCCTCTGTTCATAAAATCACCTTTCTTGCAATTTCAAAAAATAATATTCGTTCTTTGTCTGTTTATTAAAAGTGCTTACTCTTTAATAAGTAACCAGATAAATGCGCAGACGACAAACGCGCACACAATTATAGCGTACCTAAAATTCACCACTGTCACACGTACTCTCACTGACAAATACGTAGGATACTCCGAAAACCTCACAGTCAAAGACAGACAATTGTAAACAAAGACAACTGCGCAAATATATAACTGTGCACATTAAAAAAAGGAATAAAACATTTAGTAATATTAATCCAAGCTAAAGGATATTTATTTTAATCGAAATTACTACAACTTTTAAAATACTGCCACATTTAAACTTTCTTCCGAGTCATCTTGCCCTGATGGGGCCCGCCATAACCCACTTTGTACAAGGGGGGAGGGAGTGTCCAAAAATCTTTGCGCGTAACGGACGGCCCCAATCTTAGCTCCGCCACTGCTCCACACCTGGCCACATAGAGTGTCACTATTGGGGCACCAGTGCACTTAAACATAAACACGGATCTACTCGTAGGTAATTTTGCCCACCTTTCAACACTATTGTAAAAATTCATTTATTTTCCTCGCGTTAAGATCAGGGGTGGTCCACCCGCGGCCTGCGGGCAGGATACGGCCCGCCACGCCAAATATTGTGGATGCTTGATTTACCACAATAAACATATTCGTTCTTCATTCGCTTGAAAGATAGATCGATTCTAAAAAGATAACTGATTTAAAAGATAAAATTATGTCACATTAGTTTAGTTTTATTCAGTTTTCATTGTGTAAATTAATAATAGATACACATTTCTAAACACCATTTAGCGGGATTTTATAAGGATATTTTAATATAAGAAGTAATGTCATTCGACCCGCGAACGGTTGATGCGCTATCAAAGTGGCCCACGAAGCCTTTTAGTGTGGCCACCTCCCTGATTGAGATTTTCCATTCAACTTTGGCGAATTAGATCCACCCTGAAATTGCTCTACTGCGGCCAGTGGCGCGCCTCTTCTTCTTCTTCTTATGCCCTTTTGCCCCGTTTGAGGCATAGGCCGTCCACAAGAATTTTACATTCATCACGGCCCTGTGCTGTCCTTTCCAGTTGCTTCCAGGTGTATCCCATTTTTTGCGTGTCTGCCTCTAGCTCGCGTCTCCATACATTCTTTGGCCTCCCTCTCTTTCTTTTTTCCCTGTGGATTCCATGCTAGAGATGGTCTGGTGATGCTATCTGTTTTTTTTTTTCGAAGGTTATACCCTACCCCCCCCCCCCCCTTCCCTTTTTTAAGTGATGTCTTCATCAAGGGGCAACTGAAGGGGCAACTGATAAGTGCTTTTTAGTAGATCTTTGTTGGTGATGGTATTTGGCCTTTTGATGTTCAGAGTGGCGTGCCTAGGGGGTGTAAATGGGGCTACCGCCCGAGATGGATCTTTTGGGGTTTATATAATATTTATATGGTGTTCGGTGATGACAAGCAAGAACTTTTCGGGTCTCCACCCCAGCTGGCGTTTACTTAAGGGGAGCCCATGAATTGCCGTTTCTTTCTTCTCTGTTATTTTATGTCACAGTTTTCAAATCTTACTTTCCAAATCTTACTTTCCAAATCTTTCTTTCCAAATCTTACTTCCCAAATCTTACTTTCCAAATCTTACATTCCAAAATCTCACTTTCCAAATCTCACTTTCTAAATCTTGCTTTCCAAATCGTACCGTGTCTGTCTTGAATTCGACTCACTTCAGACAGTCAAGGCGTAACCATACCAACCACATATAGTTTAACCAGGAACTGCACTGCTGCGTGCTAATGCACTCTCTCTAATGAAAATTGGCCGACAGTCGAGGTGTTACCATGACAACCCTACATGGTCGTTGACGCGTTGGCTGACGTCCATCTTGCTGACGTAGCTCTGACGTAGATCCTGGATGACACTCAAGACTTTGCTACACAACGGACCTTTTGGAAACAGGGACCAACATTCCCATTAAAAAGGGGGATCTTTTCTAAATGGGCATAGGCGGATCCAGAGGAGGTGCAAGGAATCAGTGTCGTGGTCAAGGAGGGGAGCCCAGCGCATTTTGGCAACAGTTATGAAAATGGAAGTTGATTTTTGTGTGTGTGCACCCTCTTCTTTTAAGGGTCTAACTCTCACCGCCTTCCCCTGTGTGTGAGTGTATGTGGGTGAGTGTGTGTGTGTATTGGTGTGTCTGTGTGAGTATGTCTCCTTGCTTTTTTTTTCCAACTCTAGATTTTTATATATTTTATAACGCTTAGTGGTAGTGTAGGTCCCTTAAAAAATAAGTTTGTCTTAAAAACGACAACTGGCGGCAGTTCAGTGTTCGTCTTTGTTGTAGCAGATATTGAACAAAAAGCCTCTTGTTTGTGACATTATTGGTGTATACTTTGGTCTAACACATTTTTGTGTACTTTTTCCAGATGGCGCAATGATCATCATCAGTGGCGCTACCAGCCCATGTAGTACCCTGGCCTGCTCCACCACATCCTTCCATTCGGAACGATCCATGCGCGTACACCGCCCCCCCCCCCAACCCAACTGGTGCAAGATGACATTATTGGTGTATACTTTGGTCTAACACATTTTTGTGTACTTTTTCCAGATGGCGCCATGATCATCATCAGTGGCGCTACCAGCCCATGTAGTACCCTGGCCTGCTCCACCACATCCTTCCATTCGGAACGATCCATGCGCGTACACCGCCCCCCCCCCCAACCCAACTGGTGCAAGTCCGTCTCAGCATCGTCGATCCATGTCAGTCTTGGTCGAGCGGTGAGCGGTTTGCTCCAGGTTTCTGCCTTCATCCGTATTTTACGGTTTTGTTCAGACACAGGTCGATTTCCAAAATCATCAGTCAATTTTTCGACGGCGCAGCAATGGACACCAACCTCACGTCAGGAGCTAAGAACATTTATAACAGTCACATTTAAACAACATCAACCATGGCAGGACATATTCAAATTTTGTTTTATTTTGAGTTCTAAAATACAAATAATGCACACAACATTACACCAGTGCCAACGAATTTGACCGCTCTGGATGTGATCAGCGAAATTGCATAATTTTTCTTCAAAGTCATAATAGTTTGCCTTGGCTCGGAGCCTAATAAATCTTATGTCATTCTTTTCATATATAAAAAAAAAAAAAAACGAACAACTAACAACATAACAGCTTATTTAAATGTGAATGATTGATCGAATTCGATCACTACAGATCCGAATACTTCGCTACAGCCCCAGCACAAATTGTCAACAAATACAAAATAAATAAATAAAAAAAAAGGAACATTCTAAGCTGCGGGCGTACCATTAGAAAGGAATTAGCTTTGAATTTCAAAAGGAAGAACATTGATTTTTTGTGTCTCTTTCAGCAATCTAGATTTTTCATTTCACTTTTTTTTGCTAAAAAAACGTGACTTTCGATTTGTACGGCTGTAAGGGTTGCATTGAACGCTTCCAGGAAGCTGAAAAAAAGGCAGGGATTGTGCTGAAGAGGTAGGTGAATATCAGTGTCTCCCAAACCTTTTTTTGTGTCCCTTGCACCACCTGAGCGCCTATAAGGGATTCATGTCCCCTACCCTGCTCCACCATTACAACCCATCTAAAAAAAAAAAAATTAAAACGAAATAAATAAATAAAAAATTCCTGCTTTGTTAAAAGGTTAAAAAAAATTAGTCTCTCCTTACCGCCGTCAGGAGCATTGAATCTGAATGTCGAGACCTGTTGAAGCTTCAATTGAATCTGAATGTCAAGACCTGTTGAAGCCTCCAGTGAATCTTGATGTCGAGACCTGTTGAAGCCTCAATTGAATCTGAATGTCGAGACCTGTTGAAGCCTCCATTGAATCTGAATGTTGAGACCTGTTGAAGCCTCCATTGAATCTGAATGTCGAGACCTGTTGAAGCCTCAATTGAATCTGAACGTCGAGACATGTTGAAGCCTCCATTGAATCTGAATGTCAAGACCTGTTGAAGCCTCCAGTGAATCTTGATGTCGAGACCTGTTGAAGCCTCAATTGAATCTGAATGTCGAGACCTGTTGAAGCCTCCATTGAATGTGAATGTCGAGACCTGTTGAAGCCTCCAATGAATCTGAATGTTGAGACCTGTTGAAGCCTCCAATGAATCTGAATGTCAAGACCTGTTGAAGCCTCCAGTGAATCTTGATGTCGAGACCTGTTGAAGCCTCAATTGAATCTGAATGTCGAGACCTGTTGAAGCCTCCAATGAATCTGAATGTTGAGACCTGTTGAAGCCTCCAATGAATCTGAATGTTGAGACCTGTTGAAGCCTCCAATGAATCTGAATGTTGAGACCTGTTGAATCCTCCAATGAATCTGAATGTTGAGACCTGTTGAAGCCTCCAATGAATCTGAATGTCGAGACCTGTTGAAGCCTCCATTGAATGTGAATGTCGGGACCTGTTGAAGCCTCCAATGAATCTGAATGTTGAGACCTGTTGAAGCCTCCAATGAATCTGAATGTCGAGACCAATTGAAGCCCCAAAATTCAACGTTGTAAAGTAAAATATACAATTCGTGAAACATAATTGTATTGGATCAAATGAAAAATAAAGTCTCTTACACAAATGGCTCCTGCCAAATATCGCCCCAAATACCTCAAAATATATCTCAGAGACTAAACATCACCACCCCCCCCACACC